TATTCAAAATCAAGACTAAATTACTTCACGTTAAGAATTATATTTACTTATTTATAGACTTTTTTATATCACAAAGGTACCACCTACCTTTATATAGCTAAGCATATAGTCCGTCAATTACATATTTATTTACCTATTTGCCTCTTTGCCTATTTACTTGCATACTTATTTATTTATTTATTGCATAATAAAACTTTGTACAAATAGCGAACTTAATGCCATAGGGCATTCTCTACCAGCTAACCATTGGGTAAAAACAAAAAGCGTATGAAGGGCAGATGTGGTGAAAAAATATGTGACATAATTATAGCAACAGGAGATGCATTATACCGGTCATACAAAGATCTCGCGGGCACATACCGATGCCGGAATAGACTTGTGTCTGAAATCGAAACTTCACTCGATTAAGTTTCGATCTGGAGTGAACACAATCTTGTCCAATTTAATCCTAAGAAAACACAAATCTGCTTAACGCCTGCTTGTCTGGTGAACGCTACCCCAAAAAAAGACGACGTTTATCGTATCTTCTCACTTTCAGGGCACTTCCCTTGATAATAAGTCGAGTCTAGGGGTCCTTGGCGTTGATATGTCTTGCGACGTCCAATTTTGTGGTCATCTGGAAGAAAAAGCTAAGATGGCTTCCAAAAAGTTAGGAGTGCTCAAAAGAGTAAGACAGTATTTCACGCCGGAACTTTCAGAAAGCATTCAGAATTGAGCTGCTCGAATTATTGATGATCAGCGTCTTACTGTTCAACTCGATCCACTGAAACTGCGTAGAGATATTGCATCTCTGTGCATCTTCTACAGAATTTATCATGGGGAGTGCTTTGAGGAATTATTCGGATTGATACCTGCTGCTGATTTTCACCACCGTACAACCCGCCATTAACTAAAGTTTCATCTTATCCATCTGGACGAGTAACGGTCTTCCACCGTGCCTTTTTCAAAACACTTTCTTCTACGCACAACCACTCTTTGTTATCAACTTCCAATAGCAGTATTTCCGAACTGATACAACAACATAACCTTCAAAAAAAGAGCACTTTCCTTTTTAAAAGGCCGGCAGCACAGCTGCAATGCCATTGGTGTTGTGGGTAATCATGGGCGGCAGTAGTCACTTACCATCAGGTGAGCCGCATGCTCGTTTGCCCCCTGTGTTATAAAAAAAACATGCTTCTTTGAGACTAATCTTTCAAATAAAAAAAGTATTTTCCAAATCGGTTTAGAACTGACTAAATATTGAAGTTATGGGGCAACAAACAAAAAAATGGAACTTTTTCCTTTCATTTGAAAATATCTCGTTGCTAAAATTGCGAAGACTCATATAGGCTAAAAAAAAAATACAAAAAAATACCTTCAAATACATTTCGTTCCTAAAAACTCACAAAAGCTTGGAAGTTTCATTAAAATATCTAGTTCCTCGAAAGCTCCATTCAGTAATTCGGCTCCCCTTAATATTGATTTTTACTTAATTCCTTTCTATAAATAAACTATCTTATATGACAAAGTCACTCGTGGAATTCAATATAAAAGTATGATACCTACTTTTATCATCAGTGAATTGTAATCTGGGAATCGGTGGGCTCCCATCCAAAGTTTTATTGTGTTTGGTGTAGCAACTTTTGGGGTGGACACGGATAAATTGCTTGAGGGACTAACAGCACTTGTCCACGCTTAACTATTAACAATATGATAGACTCGATGACTAAATTTGGAAAACAATTGTGTATTTTTTTATTCTTACAAGTTTTATAATTACACATCATCATCATCATCATCATCATCAACAACAACATATCAGTCGTTAACTGTCCACTGCTGAACATAGGCCTCCCATAGGGGGTTTGGTCTGCCATTTTTGTAAGTACACAATATATTTTGTTCGTATAACTTGTCGTGTATTTTAATTGAGAAAACTCGACTAGTTTCAGGACAATCCGGGACTCTTACTCCTAACTGGCCATGATACAATCGTTAATCTGTCTCAACTGTTTTCTTAATGAGTGATAATGGAGTGGTAACCCCGCCCGCGCTATCGGTATACGCTGGCGGGGCACTAGTGAGGGATGATAGGTGAGGATAAAGCAGGTCAGTTAACCAATCGTGACGAATTAAACAATAATTGTTCACGATGATTTCCAGGGAGAACCACATGGAGGTCGACCTAATAGGGTATATTGCTAGCAATGGCGCTGGCAAACTCCATTGCGAACAATCCTATTCCCCCCTGTCTCGACTGCTAGTTGATTCGATTGTTTTTACATTAAAGTATTTTATATTAACTGTTTTTATACGCTTTGCCATTGTCCATCTGTACATAAAGTACGTACAGATTCACAATACAATATAGCGTATCCATGCACCAAAATTTCATTCATTCAACCGTTTAAAATAAAATATTGTGTTTAAACTAGTTATTATGATTTAAAAATTAAACTACGGAACCAGTTTCCAAAACATTTCCATGGCGCCAATCTGTAAATATATCCTTTCAGATAAAAAAACAATCATTTTCTAAATCGGTTAATAAATAACGCAGTTAAAAAAATACAACCGAATTTAGGAATTCCTTCTTTTTGAAGTCGCTTGACAAATAAAAAGATACGAAGATTCAACAATCTAAATAAACTTAATAGCATATTACCGACATTTCTATAGTTTTAACGTTACATTCAATTTGATATTTGTCACAATAAACAATCTAATTTCCAAACGTTTAGAATTCACTTTACTCCTTCACTTGGACTGTCAACCAGCTAGCCGCAAAGCGACATTATTTATCGGCATCCTATAAATAAATATCACAAAACAAAGACTCGAGTAGGTACGACAGATGGCATTATATTATGCCGTCCGATTTATAGCCGAAACCGTGAAATGATAAGTTGGTGCCATTTCTTTGGCTAGAAACTGCAAAAGTAGTCAAACCATTTGTAAAATTGGAAATAAACAATTTTAAACTCTAATACTGGCTTGTTAAGATATCTTCTTCTAATACTAGATTGTCGTACTTTGATGGAAACATTTTCGAGAAGTTTCACTGTGACACCGGTGGTGCTTGCAGACTTGAATATTTCTTATGTACAGGCAAAGATAGTTTCTTCAACAAACTATTTGTACTAATATTATATTATATATATATATATATATATATATATATATATATATATATATATATATATATTTTATACAACTTAGAATGGCAAACAAGCTGACGGCCCACCTGATGGAAAGTGGTAACCGTCGCCTATAGACATAAGCAGTATCATGGACATAACAGAGTATACTGTTTCGCCCATGATACCCCACATGCGTTGCCATTCCTGAGGACTTAGGTGTTATTCCTCTGTACCCTATAAATTGGAATTCCTAATCTTTTCTAGCAATAAATATAGCCTATGTTTTTCAGGGTGAATGTAACTTTCTAATGATAAAAGAATTTTTGAAATCGGCATAGTAGTTTTTGAGTTTATTCATTACAAACATACACACAAAAATACAAATCTTTCCTCTTTATAATATTAGTGTAGATATAGATATATAGTACATTGCTGCAGCGGCCAGCAACTGAGGCATTGATGGACAAACGTGCAAATGTGGGCCGAGGCGTAGCCGAGGCACACATATGTGAGTCCATCAATGCCTAATTGTGGCTAAGGCTTGTATAGTACTTTTCTCAAACAATGAGCGAAAATCAAAAACACAATTTTACTTTTTAATTTCAATGACGAATAACGAACAATAATAATTTTTCACGCGCCATAATGTTCGTTCTTTTTTTCAATAAACGGCTTTCTATTTGCAAGCCAGTTCGAAATTTAAATAAAACCTTTTATTAGTTACTTCCTTGGTAGCCATGTTTCGAAGTAAAAGGTCATACCATTTTTAAATTACAGGATAGATATGAATTTACATAGTAATTTATCTGGCCGCAAAACACGACAGATATGGATTTTCATACAACTTTTGCCGGCCGCTGCCCGCATGTATCTGGCCAGTACGGCAATTTTGATTTATCTCGAAGAAGGTTGTCAAAATAATGCTCACTTTTCCAAACATGTTTGAGAAAAATATATTATAATGTTTCTAAATGCAAAAATGTTTACAACCCCTGATTCACTGCTTGATTCACGCTACGATGACGACAAATAACGAGTGGGTGTGCGCCCAGAGCAGAGACTTCCATCTCAGGAGCAAAAACAATACGTACGACTTAGACATTCACTGCGACATCCATTATGTCGATGATGGGATTGTACGACGCTTTTCTATGCTTCTACCTAAATAATAATAATAAACTCTTTATTGCTCACAAAAGAGTATTTATACAGAACGTACATATACGTGTATATATGTATATATTTAACAGAGGGAGACTTTGTACAAGTCGTTTGCTTGGGTGCCTCTGTCCCATTCGTGTTTCAACGGTAAAGCAGTAGTGTTTGCATGGCTGTGTTTCAGTTTGAAGGGTGGGATATAGCGTGAATTTATAGGGTACAGAGGAATAACACTTGAGTCCTCAGGAATGGCAACGCATGGGGGTATGATGGGCGAAACAGTATACTCTGTTATGTCCATGATACTGCTCATGTCTATAGGCGACAGTTACCACTTTCCATCAGGCTAACGGCCACGTTAGCTTGTTTGCCATACTAAGTAGTATAAAAAAAGAAGGTATCTCCCTCTGGTGGTAAGAGGTATGGTGATACAAAATACACACAATTTCATGCATTTATATTTTATAATGACATTTTAAACACAAAATTAATATATGAACAAAAAGAATACCTTTTATTTATTAATAATTAATTGGTGATGATTAGAACACTAAATCATCATCAATATTATAAAATTAATATTTATTCTTAAATAAAAAAAATTAACAATTTATTAAAATTGTTATAAAAATAAATAAAAATTAATTATAAATTAGTGTTTTTTACATTAAACACTTTTACAATTCAAAATTATAAATAATATTATTTTAAATAAATATTACACACCACATGCATAATGTATAATTTTCCGTAAAAAAAATAATTACAATTAAAACTGTATCGAAATTCGTTGGAATTTCGTTCAGAAATAGTAAACAGAAATGCAGACACGCTGACGGTGACTTTGAACATATTTGATTTATCTAGAAGCCTAATTGTAGCTACATTCCAATGTAGATTTAATCCTACTTAAAATGTTTTTTTTTTAATAAAAAAAACACAAGTAATATATATATATAAACACAAGTAATGTATATATATAATACATAGAGAATTATGTTAACAAAATGAGGAAAGTTCGACTGCAGTTACGTCCTGAGCCCGACCTGAATGAGATGTCCAGAGGCGGCCTTAAGGCCGAGGTCCATTTTCAGTCGTAGCTGGTCTGCGCGCGAGTGGACCTCCAGTTCGAGTACGCAGTGCGCCAGGAACGTCTTCATTAAGGCCATTGCATACTTCTTACCTTGAATTTAATACAATTGGTTAAATCATTACTTGGACAATGACAAATATACTTGAAACTATGTTCTTCGACAAACATTTTTAATTTAACATTACAGTATCATTGCGTGTGATCACGGCAAAGTATGGGCCACTCAATTCTTATCCATGGGTGTCGTATCAAGCGATTAAGGGAATTTAATAGTCGAGATATGGGTAACAGTGCCCCTCTTATACTTCTGGCGAAACCTCCTAACAGGATGGCCTATGTTCAGCAGTGGACAGTTAAAATCTGGTATGATGATGATGATTACAGTACCGTACTAATACCAGATTTTCAACAGAAGGCCCTTCCTTTCCTGAGGCTGTCGTAAAAAGTGACTAAGAGAATTCAATGATCGAGGTATAGGCATCAGCATCCCTTTTAAAACATCACCAAAATGTAACTGCGGTAACAACCCGCCTTCCAAGCGTGGCAACTAACAAAACCCCCTAATGGGAGAGCCCTATATTCAGCAGGGGATATGGTGATGATTGATACTTTTGTTCCATCCGTATTTCTGCCGTGAACTAGCTGTCCTTGCATGACTGTGTTTCCGTTTGCAGGGATATGACTGTGGCATAACAAGTTATACGGGCATAATACCTTAACTCGGGGGGAAAGGGATTGTTAGTAATGGAGACTGAGAATCCTAGCAATATACCCAACCAGGTCAACCTCCTCGCGGTTCCCCCTGGAAACTATCATGGTTAATTCCTGGTGAATTCATCATGATGGGCTAACTGGCCTGTTTTCATTCTCATCTATCACCCTTCACTGGTGCTCCGCTAGTGTATCCCGTTAGCGCAGGCGGGTTTACCATTTTCACCCATAAAAAAAAACCCTTAACTCTCAGGAATGGTAACCTCTCTACAATAAGGAATAAAATATATAGACATGACAGCATACTCTGTGATTGTTATAGTACTATCCATGGCTATAGGTGACGGGTGCCACTTTTCAAGTGGACTGTCAGCTTGCTTGCCATTCTAAGTTTCATAAAGTAAAACAGTACCAATAGGACCACTTTCATGAGTAAAATGTTTCTCTCAATAAATGTTAATATATGCTTGTACAATAGACTATCATCTGATTTTTATTTTTTGAGCGCTAGGGATCGGCAGGAGTATCCCTCTTAAAATATCTTTAAAGCCTAATTGCGGTTGCCAATCCGTCTGCCAAGCGTGGCAACTACTGGCAAAACCCCCCAAGGGGGAGGCTTATGTTCAGCAGTGGACAGTTAAAAGCTGATATGGTGACCTGATTTCTAACTCCATTCATTTTGTGCTAAGGAATTTTATGCAATTTATTTAATACCAATGCAAGCCCTTCTTCCGTAGTTAAAAGCTAGAAAAGCAGCCGGGTGTCCAGGTCTCTCGGCTCCCAGCCACCTCTCTGGTCGATACTCCAAGGCGTCTGGTCCCCATATTCGCCGCGAGCGTCCTGCGCCTAATGCGTTAATGCCAAATGATGCTCCTTCAGGGACTCTGCAGCTCTCTAAAACCATATCCAATTTATTTTGAAGTAAACTTATTTCAAGAGGCTTTATCATTTACTTCTATTTAAAAAGATGAACCAGATTTCTCTTACGAAAGTGAAATATTTCAGGTACCGGTAAAGGCTTAAAGTACCTTATCATGAAATAGAATTGAAATAGAAATTTATTATTTGACAAAAACAAAAAGTTACATGAGCAGACTTTACTTTGTATTATCTGAAGTGGAAATGAGTGTTTTCTGAACCAGCATGTATGCATGATACGTAAATATATATACGGTTTATTAATACTGGATGAATCAAGACATGAGTGTGAAAGTAAATGTCTTTGATATTAGATCCTCTCTACAACTATCTCATAAAAGATCCAGTGTTAAAAATAGCCAAGTAATGGACAAGAAAGGCAAAAACTTTCAAAGGCTGTATGGCTTTAAAAGTTTTTGGCAAAACGCCTCCCAGTCGAGGTAGCGACGACCTCAAATCTCTAATATTTTGTAGACAATCAGTAGTATTGCAAGTAACTTAGGGTCGTTTTTCATAACTGTCTGTGGGAGAGGCCTATGTTCTACAGTCGACAATTTTACTAAAATTGTAACTAATTTAGGTATATCTGCAGATGGGAGAGACATTAGAAAAAATAAAAAAATGCTAAAACAATATTCTTTGAAAATTTTGCATATTTGTTATTTGTACATCTGTATATTTGTTCTAGCATCGTGCAAAAACTTCGGCACTAAATTGAACGCAGTTTGCACTGTTATATTTCTGAAGATTAAACTTAAAAACGCGGTGTATGTTTCGTTTTGTTGCTCCATCTAAAAGTGGTATTGCATTGATTTTCCTACTTCTGAAATCCACGGATATTACGTAGCGGACAAAAAGCCAGTTCAATGACTGAATTGATAATAATGAATATATTCGTACTCACTAAGTTGTATGGCCTTATCAGCGTAACGGAAGCTAACAGGTACAGGGGGATACATCCTTAAAGTCTCCAAGATAACCGCTTCACAGTACTTCATCTGGCTTAAATCCCCCTTAGTAACCGACCTTTTGGTTCCTCCAAAAATTTCTTGCATCCTTAAAATTTTTATCAACTTATATTTTTTTTATATTTATATACTAATTTTTAGACGGTGTTTTTTTATGAATGATAAAATAGGACAACGTAAGGAATAATTGAGAAAGATAAAGTCAGGCCAATTAGCCAATCGTGACGAATTCTTCAAGAACTACCAAAGATGGTTTCCAAAGAGAACTGCGTGGAGGACAACCTGCCAGGGAATATTGCCTGTTATAGAAAGAAAGAAGAAAGAAAGAAAGAAAACATTTATTGACAACAACAAAAAGTTACATACATTATGAATTAAAAAAAAAAAACTTTACATTTATTATTGCCAACGTGGTCACCACTCAGCATGTGCTGCAGCAATTTAATTTCTACAGCGCTGATATTCTGTGGTGTGTGGTGGTATATATATATATATATATATATATATATATATATATATATATATATATATATACCTACATATACATACATACATATACACATAAACACACATATACATACACACACACACATATACATATACATACATACATACACTTAACAGACAAGATATACCCATATAGATATGTACAATAATAATACAATAACAATACAACAACACTATATTATACAATGAAGCAGCAATGTTATGCAATTACAAGGAGTTACATGCTTTTTGTAGATTTAAATAATAGTTCTTAGCATATTTTTTAAAAGTATAAGTTGTTTTTAAATTTCGTATGGGAGGCGGGAGGTCATTCCAGATCTTGGAAGCTGCATATAATTATATTATAAGACCACTACTTCCTGTTACCAACTATCCTTTCCACCTTCCCTTAAGATGGTAGTCATGAAGTGTAGCAGCTATAATAGAATAATGTGTTCCTCTCATAAGGATAGACTTATGCCCAGTAGCGAGATATCGGTAAGCTGTAGCAATGATGATATGAAGCTAGTTACTTGAAGTTGTCAAATGCAGATTTTCCCTAATTATTGTAATAACTAGTAGCAAATTTATATATATCATAATTTAATGAGATATTAATTATTTATATATATATCTAAATTTACATCCATTTAAGTACTTACTCATCATACAACTTCTTCTGTATATGAGGTTTATATCCTATCATTAAAAGAATGTAAAACAATGTGATTGAAACTGCTTCTTGCCCACCAACAATAATGGTGTTCACTTCAAATTTAATTTCCTTCTCTGTAAAGCTTAAATTTGCTTCATTATGATCCAGAAGGATATCAAGAAAAGACTTGATAGGTCTTCCATCACCTAGGAAAATATTCAATTGATAATTTAAGAGTTGTTCTTATTATGAAATATAATATGAATCTTTATAGACTTTGTGAATAGTTACTGGTTTCATTCTTTGCATTCTCTTTTTCCATTTCACGTTCTCTCATTCTTTTTGTGATCACCTGAAAGAAGTTTACTAGTTTAGAAGTTACTTATATAATAAAATTGTTAGAAGACGGCATTTGTACAAGAAACATATTTCAGAACAATTAATATGAGATACCTTATACAAATAGTATGCCAAAACAATATAAATTAGACTTTTTTTCTGTCTGTGTCTGTCTGACATGAACATGAAATTGTTTGTTTTACCAGAGGGAGACTTTGTACAAAAGTCGTTAGCTTGAGCATCTCTGTCTCATTCGTGTTTCTACCGTGAAGCAGTTGTGTTTGCGTGGCTGTGTTTCGGTTTTAGGGGTGGGATATGGCAGTGAGTTTACACCGTATTGAGGAATATTAGGAATGGCAACGGTATCATAGCCGAAACAGTATACTCTGTTATGTCCATGGTACTGCCCATGTCTATAGGTGGCGGTTACCACTTTCCATCAGGTGGACCATCAGCTTGTTTGCCATTCTAAATTGCATAAAAAAAAGCATCACGAAAAAACTACTGCACCATATTGGATGCGATTATTACAGTTGTATTCCTGAAGGTGTAACTTATTATATAATTTATTTTTTTATCTTAATACGCCATCTTGAAGTGGTCTATTTTGCACCTCAATGCCCCCCCCATCCAGTTACGGCCATGGGATCTAGTAATAAAAACGCGGTATCTACGAAGACATAAAATCTTAGTTGTCATGAATTAGAAACTTTTGCTTCTATAATGCTGTTCATGTCTATAGGTAATAGTTAATATTTTCCAGCAGATGTCACTTTATTTACTATTCCAAATTAAAAATAATACCAATTCTGAAACGTTGTGCACAACAGCGATGCATTTTTGAAGTTCCCTGTAATCCGTCGTTAGTTGGTACAAAAAAGTTGGATGCTTAAATATATTAAATCCACGACCGTTCAAGAGTTCCACAATGCGATTGAATGCATCACAGTATTCGTTTGTTACAATACTCTCAGATATATCCAGTACCCCTAGTGCTGTCTCTGTAAAGTAACAATCATAAATGTTAATTATCACATCATATACCAGAGGGAGACTTACAAAAGTCGTTTGCTTGGGCACCTCTATCTCATTCGTGTTTCAACCGTGAAGCAGCTGTGTTTGCAAGGCTGCGTTTCGGTTTGAAGAGTGGGATATAGCAGTGAATTTGCAGGGTACGGAGGAATAACACCTAAAGCCTCAGGAATGGGAATGCAAAGAGGGTATCATGGACTCTGTTATGCCCATGGTACTGCTTATGTTAATAGACGACGGTTACCACTTTCCATCAGGTGGGCCGTCAGCTTGTTTGCCATTCTAAGTTGTATCAAAAAATATAGGTTTATTCTTTGTGCCGAAGTCATCTGCATGGATACCTCTGTCCTTCCGGAGCAGGCATTACTATATTATTAGTAGTTTTACTAATCTTATTACTAGGAATATACCCAATATTTTTATCGGTAGTCTTTCCATCACTCATCATCTCCCCGCAGTCTCCTCTGGAAACTAATGTGTTTTATTTCCTGATGAATCCATCTCGATGCTCTAACTGACCTGCATTTTATCCTCACTTATCGTCTCTCACTGTTACTCTACCAGAGTATATGCTAGGAGGTAAAGGAATTGTCAGTCTTTGTGAGATCTAACAGCCCCATTACTATCAATATACCGTATAGGGTCGAGCGCAGTTAAGGTTACCATTCCATTATCACCAATAAATGTTCCACTTGTATTTCTGCCTTTAAATAGTTATGATTGCAGAGCTGGCTTAGTTCGAAAGGCAATGACATTAGGAAGTAGCTATCTTAGTATTCAGTAATGGTAATGTTTAAGATATACAATAATAGCAGTACATTTTTTGATCCCGGTTCTCTTTATATCTATAGATGATGGTTATTTCTTTCTATTAAATAAGTAGTTAGCTAATTCTTATTTTTCACACAATTGCATCAATTGCGTGGTCCTCAAGGTAGGATTCCTTATGTTATTAGGAACCAGGCAACTATCATTTGAAAGCATATTTTAGAATACGCAAATACGAGCTATTTTATAGAAGTTCATTTCCTAAATTAGCCCTCAAACACGAGTCCTCATTTTCGCAAAGCAACGCACCTGCCACTGCGCCACTGAGGTTATCAGGATGTTCACCATCTCATATTTACTTTGTACCATTTATAACATATTTTACTTACGGCATATAGTCTCCAGTGTAAATAAAGTCAAGTATTTATTCAGCACGTCGAAGGGCTCGCCGCCAACTTCCTTCTTCAATTTCTCCACGCATCTGCGCGCTTGCACATTGAATATATTCTGGTAGCTACCCACCACACTCGTGTTAAATGTACTTCCCAAGATCTTTATGTTTTGTTTCCATACTTTCACTAAAATAATCATTTAGTTACATTAAATTTAATTATACCGTGTTCTAAGCCATGACAGGCTTAGAACGGACCACCCCTTTCCGTAGATGTTGTAAAAGGAGACCAAGAGAATTAATAAATAATGGTCAAGAAACGAACAGCATCGTCCCTCTTAAAACTTCACCAAAACCTAACTGCAGTTGTTAACCCGCAGCAAGACCATTGTGATTTATTGATTGTTGAATTCGTGATGATGGACCAACTGCGCTGCTCCATCCTCATCTATCAACCCGTCATCAATCACTGGTACCCACAAGTGTATATCGATAACGCAGGCAGGGTAACCGTTTCATTATCATCCAATAAAAAAAACCGTTGAGAGTGGAACGTTCTCTTTCGCTTGATCGTATTCATGGACCATGTCGTCTTTTTTTTTTTATACAACTTAGAATGGCAAACAAGCTGACGGCCCACCTGATGGAAAGTGGTAACCGTCGCCTATAGACATGAGCAGTACCATGGACATAACAGAGTATACTGTTTCGCCCATGATACCCCCCATGCGTTGCCATTCCTGAGGACTCAGGTGTTATTCCTCTGTACCCTGTAAATTGCTCAAGATGATGTAGCCAAATGTCGTGATATAATAAAAAAAAAATCAGTTACTCACCGGGAGCTGTTATAAGACCGTTTCCCACCCAGTTTTGAGCGAAGTTATAGAAGTAAGGTTTCTCCACGAATGAGTTTGTGACTATTATGACGTCTTCGGGATCACTTATAACTGTAAACATAAATTATTAATTTTTTTTTTTTGATGGGTGGAAGTGGAATTGTAACCCCGCCTGCGCTAACGGGATACGCTGGCGGAGCACCAGTGAAAAGTGATATATGAGAATGCAAACAGGCCAGTTAGCCCATCATGATGAATTCATCAGGAATTAACCATAATAGTTTCCAGGGGGAACCGCGAGGAGGTAGACCTGGTTGGGTATATTGCTAGCAATGGGATTCTCAGTCTCAGTCTCTCTTGGCAAACGCAGTTTGAATATATGTGATGTTTTAAGAGAGACACTGCTACCGATCCCTCGACCATTAAATTTCCTTGGTCGTCTTTTACGACACCCATGGAAAAGAAAGGGATGGAACATTCTATGCTGGGATTATTTACACGGGCATTTGTAATAATAATATAGTCTATAAGCTCATTAAAATATTAGTCTGTCCAATTTTGGTAGACCTTTGTGACCTAACCTAACCTTGACCTAATAGTGCTTTCAAATTCCTAGTCCCCAAGAAAGCCCCGAAATATACGGAAGACCTTTGGGGCATGTCTGTAAAAGTAGTTAGTTCTTTCATAGATATTGTTGCTCCATATCTAGCCACTATTTTTAATAAATGTATTGATAATGGCGTTTTTCCACATTTAATGAAATTTAGCAAATTAATCCCACTATTTAAATCAGGAGATAAATTTGAGCCAGGGAACTATAGACCTATATCTATTTTGCCAGTTCTAAGTAAGGTGTTTGAAAAGATAATGTTAAATCAAATGTTACATCACTTCAGGGTTAACGGACTGCTTCACAGTCAGCAATATGGTTTCACCGCCGGCAAGTCTACCACTGACGCAGGTGTTGCGCTAATGACACATATTTTCGAATCTTGGGAGAGGTCACAGGATGCACTCTGAGTTTTTTGTGACCTATCAAAGGCATTTGATTGTGTGGATCATAAAACGCTTTTGTACAAGCTCGAACATTATGGTATAAGATATAATGATCTAAAATTAATGAGAACTTATTTAGAGGATAGGGTTCAAACTGTAGATATTGACGGTGTAAAATCTAAGGGAGCTAATATTAAGATGGGCGTTCCACAAGGGTCAATCTTAGGCCCCTTTCTCTTTTTAATCTACATAAATGACCTTCCCTTTATGGTAGAGAAAATTGCAGATATAGTGCTGTTTGCGGATGATACTTCGTTAGTGTTTAAAATTGGACGTCAAAGTAATCAATTAGACGATGTAAATTGTGCTATGTCTGCAATATTAAATTGGTTTACATGTAATAACCTATTATTAAATTCCAGCAAAACAAAGTGTATAAAATTTACACTTCCTAATGTAAGACTAATAAATACACAGTTATTGCTTAATGACGAAATAGTAAATTTTGTTAATGATACAGTTTTTTTAGGTATAACAGTGGACTCGAAATTACAATGGGGGCCCCATATTTCAAAATTGGCCAGTAGACTCAGTTCTGCTGCATATGCAATTAGAAGAATTAGGCAATTAACAGACGTGGCGACGGCTAAACTTGTATATTTTAGTTATTTCCATAGCATAATGTCTTATGGCATACTGCTGTGGGGTAAAGCAGCCGATATAAATACTATATTTGTTTTACAAAAGAGAGCCATACGTTCTATTTATGGTATGGGTTCAAGAGAGTCATTACGTCAGTGCTTTAAAGACTCAAATATCCTCACAGTTACTTCACAATACATTTATGAAAATATTATGTATACACGGAAGAACTTAGCGAGTTTTAAAAAACTCAAAGACTGTACAAGTAGAAACTTACGCAATATAAATAAGCTTATTTTACCTAAATGCCGTCTGCACAAAATCAGTAATTCATTCTATGGTAATTGCATAAGATTTTATAATAAACTGCCGGAATCTGCATTAAATCTGACAGAGAGGCAATTCAAATCTTATATTAAACAATTTTTATGTAAGAAAGCCTATTACAGGATAGACGAATTCATAGATGACAACATATCAAGTAAATAATTAGTTTATTAGCATACAACGTTATAATTTTATTTTCTCATTGCTTTCTTGATTTAATTGATTAATTTTAGAAATATGAAAGCGTAGCGGTTTTTTGTATTAATTGCCGCATGCATTCTTATGTAAAATGTGAATACTATAACTATCAGATGGCAATTGTGAGTAGCTTTGACGTGGTCTAGTGTTTTGAGTAGTCATGCTCACTAAAATGTCCAGACTTGTGGCGGCGTGGTGGGCCGGGTCATTGGGCTCCCTAAAATATGGTCGAGCGCAGTGATGGCTGGCTCATCCGTCATACTCGTGAACGGGTGCTGCTTGTAGGGACTGGTCTGCTCTAATCACTATGACTGATTTCCTCTTATTAATTGTTTAACCAGTTGGTTATGTATTCAATTTTTTTTTTTTCTTTTTGAGTATTTAATTGAATTAGTGCTAATTGGTGGTTTGTATTCACACAATTAAACTTAAAAATGTAAAATAATAATAAAATTATTTAAAAGAGCATCACGCAAGTTTCTTGCTCGTTCTTCTTGTGATGAGACAGCTTTCCGAACGAGCGGTAAATTAAAAAAAATGTAATGACTTTTCAAAAGTGCTTCAATGTAAGTTTATTTGAATAAATGATTTCTATTCTATTCTATAGGAGGGCACATTTTATAAAATACTTTTTGGGTACATCATTTTTTCTGAAAAAAAAACTATCGCAGTTGGGACAAAACCAGTTATTTTGATCTAAAAACTAAACTGCTGAACCGATTTTGATAATATTTATATGGAAATAATCTATAAATATATGCCTTCAGATAAAAAAATCAAAATCGGTTTAGAATTGACGTACCGAATTGAGATTCTCAATTCGGTTCTCAATTTGAGAACCACCTTATTTTAAAGCCAATTGAAATTAAAAAAAGGTAACTTTCAAATATATATTCAACGTTACCGATTCCGATTCCGATTATTCTTAATACAAACACCTCATCAATGATTAATCATTTTAAAAGATACTCATTTTATGTCACAAGTGGCTGATACAAAATTATAACTGAATGATAATACATAGTGAGTGTTCGAGTTGTTACTCGAGTCAGCCTTGCTACTGTACTTCACTAAATCAACAAAGATTCTTAAAAATCGTAGAAAATGCCTAATAGTCTTTATATTTCTATGATGAGACGGGATAATGACAATGTGTGCGAAAAAGGTGATAGCAATAGAAGAAGGAAGGAGGTGTCGTCGTCGATCAATGATCTGACAACCCATAACCGTACGGTGTGGTACAGAACTACTGGAAGGGTGAACCCCAAATAAAGTGGGAGGAGGAGGATGGTGGAGGAGGAGGAATAACCAGGAGAAAGAAGAAGAAGAAATCTTTGGATTTCTTTTCTAAGTGACTGTTCAAATAAATGAAAATATTCGTGAAACAAAATGGCGAACTACATTGAATCTCTCTCTAAACATACAAACATCTATGTTCACACATAATACTTTCCTCACGACATTCCTTTTATGCCTACTGTAAAAAAAAAGGTCTTACCCAAAACCGGATAGGGTCCAATCCATATTACGAATGGTAATTTTGTCTTCTCGATTACTTCAGATATTTCGGAGAATCGTTCGTACAGTACTGAAAATAATGTGGTTATTAGGGATGGATAACATACAGCAATATCTATTTATTGTAGTTATAATATTGATCTAATAATGGATATATTAAATCTAATTAAATTCAAGATCTATTAAATCCAAGTTACCCAATATATAATATCTGTGGTACCCGGACGAAATGAACATTGATATCCGACAGACAAGAGCGATGTCGAAATGGATAATGACCCTATTTCCATTATCAATGCCCAGTGGAATATCTAATATATAGTTATTGGAGTGGTATAGGGATTATCCATGTATAATAGTTATTGTAATATAACGAATTTTCATTATTATTATTTTTTTTATGTATTCTTTATTGTACACAAAAAATTACAAACATATAATATATATTAAATAAAGATGAACAGGCGAGCTTAACTCTGTAAGAGTTCTCTTCCAGCAAACCCTGAGTGGAAAGGAGCATTAATTACCAGCATATATATATATATATATATATATATATATATATATATATATATATATATATATATATATATATATATATATATATATATATATATATATATATATATATATATATATATATATATATATATATATATATATATATATATATATACATAAAATTTTATCTTACTAATACATGTATAATAAAATTGTAATTAAACGGTTTCTGTACATGGAAGATATTTAAGAATAATACAATATTCCAACTCATGGACTCGCTTCTGATAACGAGTCCATGAGTGGGTTCGTTTGCCACTTGTCTAAGAGATTTGTTTTGCTACTAAAACACCTGTGGAACTAAAGCACATATGCTGAAAAGAAAAGGTAAGTAGTATATAGCAATATCTATATATCGTAATTTTTATTTTTATACAACTTAGAATGGCAAACAAGCTGACGGCCCACCTGATGGAAAGTGATAACCTTCGCCTATAGATATGAGCAGTGCCATGGACATAACAGAGTATACTGTTTCGCCCATGATACCCCCCATGCGTTGCCATTCCTGAGGACTCCTGTTATTCCTCTGTACCCTGTAAATTCACGCCATATCCCACCCTTCAAACCGAAACACAGCCATGAAAACACAACTGCTTCACGGTAGAAACACGAATGGGACGGAGATACCCAAGTAATCGATTTTTGTACAAAGTCTCCCTCTGGTAAACTACAATATCTATACATATATTGGTCCAATAACAGATATATTAACTATCAAATATATATAATATTAAAAACAAGAATCCTCTCGTAATGAATATAGATATCCTGCTGGTATGCGCGATATCGCAATGGTTGTCATAAATATCCAGAACAAATCAATATATTGGATATTACCCATCTCTAGTTGAAAAGACGATGAAAAAATGGTGATAATACGGTTTAAGACATTTATTCCTCTAAAGATTTATACATAAATCACTTACATGAGAAATTTAAAACTATGATCATGCACCTAATATTAGCTTAATGTTAGCGAGCGTAATTTATCAAACATCAACTAAAAATAAAACATAATGTGAAACTACCTTCATTTTATAAAATCTATACAACACAATGTGACTCAATACAACAAGTTGCTTATAATGTAAGGGCGATATCTAATAAGAGTGATGGATCGCATTATGTACTTACATCGACCACCTCCCATAAACCAGTGCATATTGCCAATGAACGGTAACTGCGAATACGTGGGCAGGCCGGCTAACAAAGCGCGCGCAGGCCGGCGATAAACATACGTCAGGCCGTAAGCAATGACCACCAGCAACAGCAGTAGCAATAACGTGACCATCTGAAATAGAATAGAAATGGGAATCAGAAAAAAATTGAATTAGTTTATTAGCCTAGTGCTGAAACAGACATGCAAAATAAAAATTTATTTTATGGGGGGAAAGAGATTGTTAGTAATGGAGACTGTGAATCCCATAGCTAACAATATACCCAACCAGGTCGACCTCCTCGCGGTTCCCCCTGGAAACTATCATGATTAATTCGTGATGAACTCATTATAATGGGCTAACTGGCCTGTTTTCATCCTCATCGACCCTTCACTGGTGCCATGGTGGTTACCATTCCATTTTCATCCAATAAAAAAAAAATATTTATTTTAAGTTTTTTTTTATACTATATATATGGTTAATTTAAAAAAAAAAAAAAAAAACAGAAAATTAAAAACAAAATTAGCATTATATCTAATATTAAAAATATTTGATTACTTATTTTGTTTTCTTTCTATCTATGTACTTTTTTATTCATTTTCTATATATTTTTTCATTATCAAATCCAGCTCAAAGGTATTAGATCTTAAATTTCAAACTATGTCCTTCTCCACCCCATATAGAACGTGTATACCTAACTTCGATAAGGTTAGTTAAGCCATTAATGTGCCAATACATAACAAGCAGTTTTTTTTCACGAGTAAGGAAGGAATGACCTTTTCTATGCCGGGACCACACGTATTTGTTAATTTTTTATAAATCACTATAATAAGTATCTCTTAAATAACACACAGAACTTTTAAAATTACAAATTAAACACTACAATTACTTACTGCGTTAATTAAAAATTTAATATGATCCCTTCAACGCTTGCAAACACGTGTGACTACTTCATATTGGACGTAATAAAAAAATGGTAGGGTATCTCTAAAAAATAACATAAAACGCCTATTACATTCAAATAGCAATTTTTTAAGTATTTGATACAAATTATGTTTCTTATTCCTTAATCGCCGTGTCGGTCCCGGCATGCATGTCCATGGTACTGCTCATGTCTATAGGTGACGGTTACCACTTTTCCAACAGGTGGCCCGTCAGCTTGTTTGCCATTCTAAGTTGCATAAAAAGAAAACCTATAAAAAATATTCAACACGATGTAATATTGTTAGGAATAAATTGAATTGAATTGAATACAGCTAGTCAAGCTGTATTCTGTAGCTGCTTCACCGGCGGACGTAACATAGTATCCCTCAAGAAATAAGATATCAAATGAAAGAAAGAAATATTTTTATTTAAGTAAACTTAGATTTAAGCATTTTTTAATAGTCATTTTTTTCCAGCCCAACCATCTGGATGAATTGGAGAATCAACACTTTACTATCCGACTCAACCTACTGAAACTGCGTAGAGATGTTGCATCTCTGACGATACGATAAGCTACATAAGCTAAGCTAAGCAGGCTCCCCTATCTCTTGCATTGAAACTACTCAATGATATTTTGAGCCAGTATCCGCAATTGGATGTATTTGCCTCCAATTTGCTCGAGCTTCATCGGGTGACCACAGAGTATTTGTGTTCAGACGTTTTTGTTTAAGTCTTTTTATATTATTCTTGTTATATATGTGTAATATTCCTTTTTTTATATGTTCTTGTATTCATGCTTTCCTGGGTGGGCGTATTGGAAGACTGTAAGGCTCACCTAGTGGATGTAATAAATAAATAAATAAATAACCTTCAAGAAAAGAGCAGATTCTTTTTTAAAAGGCCGGCAGCACACCTCTTATTTTGTGGATGCGAGCAACGAGCCGCATGCTCGTTTGTCCCCTGTGTTTTAAAAAAAGTAATTTTTTTCATTACCGCCCATTAGAAATGCAATTTTGGCCAAGAAGAACAGGCATGAAACTCAGCTGTTTTTTGTTCAAAAAGTTCCATTATATAATGAATTTGTGTGAATATAAACTGCTAAGCAGTATCAGATAATACAATTTAATAAATGCATGCAAAAAAACAATAACAAATGCACTATTTCTTAAGAGATACGACATTGAAAAAAAGCATATGTTGACTAGTAAAGAATGCTCAAGTAGAGAGTCCTCAGGAATGGCAACCCCATGGGAGGTATCATGGGTGAAACAGTATACTCTGTTATGTTCATGATACTGCTCATGTCTATAGGCGACGGTTACCACTTTTCCATCAGGTGGACCATCACCTTATTTGCCATTCTAAGTTGCATAAAAAAAGAGATCTCTTCCAGTCAACCTAACACAGTGGCATAAGAAGTGGTGAATAAACAGCAGTGGTAAAAAACAGAAATCAAAACGACAGTAATAAATACTTTGTCACAAGTGAAGCCAGTTTTTTTTTTTTTTTTGTAGGACAACCTAATTATTCTCGGAACAATACGAGTCAAAATTGAACAATAATTTTGAGCTTCCAAATGCAAAATTATATATAAAATAATGTCACTATTATTGTAAATACCTATAAGCTAATCACAATTGCGATCAGAATAATAATAAAAATATTATAAGGGAAATTATAATTAAATCCTACATACATTTTAATGTTCCCAATTGGTACCACGCGAGACGCTCCAGTGACGTCCGTGATGATGGCAATTATTGCTGTGACTGTACTCAACTGTGTAACCAATGAAATAATTTATTCCAAGCAAACTTAATAGCGGGGATTTTGTACCAACGTACTTAAAACAAACCTGATTTAACACGTAGAACAGTCTGGCAGACTAACCTTCGTTTGCAAATTCCAAAAAAGCGCGGTACCATCTTGTACTCTAAAAGGACGTCATACTTCAGTCATTTTAAGGTCGCCTCCTGAAAATTGCTAAAAAGTGAAGTCCTTTTAAAAATGCAAATGTTGGCTATATTTGTAATCTGAGAAGTCTCGGCGCATAAGATCTACTTCTTCCTTCTAAAAAGAATTAACGTGAAAGTCGCAAAATTGTCCTTTTAAATCTAGAATCAAAATCAGGAATAGTTTTTAAAATACCATGCAGACAACCTCATCTAATTTCAACTATTCACTATCTACTTAATGGCAATGCATGTGGGGTATCATGGGCGAAACAGTACACTCTGTTATGTCCATGGTACTGCTCATGTCTATAAGCGACGGTTACCACTTTCCATCAGGTGGACCGTCAGCTTGTTTGCCATTCTAAGTTGTATAAAAAAAAACTTATCTATATTATTTTCATTATTCTACATTTAAACTACTATTTTTTTATTTTTTATTTTTTTTATTTATTTCTATGCAATAAGAATTCGTTTTAGCGCGAAATTTCTATTATGACGACACAAGCTGCCGTCATTTCCGACAAAAACCATCTGTATGAAATCAATACGACCAGTTCATAGAATTGGACAATTTTATACTATGAGTATGATGTAGCTCGTTCTTTTTTATAATACCTATCGATATATGTACATTATTGTACATATTTTGTACATAAATAGATTATAAATAGTTCCACGCAATAAATATTTATTAATGTTTGATACGTCTAGGTTGTTGCATATTTTATTTCCAGTTTCGTCAATATAAGAGCAGTGGCTACTCTTAAATGTGTTTACACTTTATTGCAGTTACATAGGTGCAATAAAATAAATAAATACAAAACATTATTAATGCAAAGTGATACAAAAGTGGCTTTATCCCTAAGTGATCTCTTTCAGTCAACCTTTGGGTAGAAGACGTTGAGAAAAAGACAGAGACGGGGATAACTTAAGAACAAGGAATAACATAGAAAGAATAATAAAATAAAAATTGTAAATCATAGTGTTGTCTTCTTTCTTCTTATGCTACACCATCAGTTGTTATTTTTCTCAATTCATAGCAGGGTAGTGTATAGAAAAAGTGTATGTAAAATTTTTGTTCATTTACATTCTTAAATTATATATTCGACACAGTTAATGTAAAAAGTATGCAAGTAGGTTGTATCTGAATTTGGTAGGGTTGTACAGCCGTATAACATTTTCTATACACTAGCCTGCTATGAATTAAGAAAAATATCAACTGATGCTGTATCTTTCATACTCTTTTTACTAATTATATATTATATATTTTTGGAGTTTTGATTTAGTTCCGATTTTGATACCAAACTAGCCGAAAGATTGGCTAAAACCGAAATTATATTCGAGAACTTATATTCTGTGTCACTTTGACACGATAGTTTTTTTTATTCCTCCTGCCTTACATACATCTTGTAATTTTTAAGCAATTAAAAAAAGAGGTATTTTAATTATCTCATTTTTTTTAAATTATGATTTATTATACGCTATTTACCTACCTCTGGTACTTTGTACAAAAGTCGTTTGCTTGAACACCTCTGTCCTATTTATGTTTCTACTGTTAAGCAGTTGTGTTTGCATGGCTGTGTTTCGGTGTAAAGGGTGGAATATGGCAGTGAATTTAAAGGGTACACAGGAATAACGCCTGAGTCCTTAAGAATAGCAACGCATGAGAAGTATCATGGATGAAACAGTATACTCTGTTATGTTCATGATACTGCTAATGTCTTTAGGCGACGGTTACCACTTTCCATCAGGTGGGCCGTCAGTTTATTTGCCATTGCAAGTTGCATAAAAAAACGTATACATTTACCCCACCAATTCTAGTTCAGTTTCGGCGAAGTAATCAAGTGTCGTCCAATGCAACCAACCAAGTTTTTGGTAGAGGGAAAGGATGGGCATAAAAAAAATCAATGAATAAGTAATTTATACATGATAATAATGTATATATAATGACAGGTTATTATTGTTGTTTACACTAATCCTATACCAATAATAACACATACTAACCAAATTCTACCTATGTTTTATAACTCTAATGAAATATTATAAATTATAGTTATTTGTACATAATCATTTTTATCTAAATTTCATGGAAAAACAAATTATATTTGCATTTATATTTTCTAATGTACGCATTACCTATGGTCTTGATTTAATACAAGGCTGGCCATAAGTTAATATTTATCTTTCAATATGGCCGGCTGGATCCACTGGATTGTACTGCTCTGCGGTGTTTTTATTGCTTCTACAGAAAAGATAAAGGAATCAGCTGGAAAGGTACTCGTATTATTGCAAATTGTAATATGATCAATGTGGACTGTCTACAGAAATTTAATTATAGGACCAAAATGTATAGCATTATAGCTTAATAGCGCTAACAAAGTTTAGAATATTCATAAATTGAATTAAAGTAATTAGGACTCTATTTGCAATGAATAGGGTTGATTTCCGTATTAGAGCTATATTATATCAGAGGGAGACTTTGAACAAAAGTCGTTTGCTTGGACACCTCTGTCCGATTCGAGTTTCTACCGTGAAGCAGTCGTGTTTTTTTTTAACGGATGATAATGAAATGGTAACCCATGCTAATCTATGCTATCAGTATACACTGGCGGGGCACCAGTGAAGGATGATAGGTGAGGATGAAGCAGGTCAGTTAGCTCACCGTGACGAATCTAACAATAAATCAATCACGATGGTTTATTTTATTTATTTATTTATTTAACACTTTATTGCACCAACATAACATGTTTTGTTAAAACAATTTTCAATACGTATAGTGAAGTACAAAAGGCGGTCTTATTGCTAAGCAATCTCTTCCAGACAACCTTTGGGTAGAAAGGATTAAAGCATAAGTAGGTAGGTGGCGCGTTAAAAAAGATAGATTTGTAAAAAATAATATCTGTGACAGCGTAGTCATATACATACATATACATACATAAATAAACACATACAACCAAACATATACATATACCTACATACACATACATGCTTGCACGGAAAAGGATTTGGAGTAGAAAGAGGAAGAATGGGTAGGAATTATGAGTTGGAGGTTGTCAGTACTACGTAAGTTTCCAGAGAAAACCACGACGAGGTCGACCTGATATAATATATGACTAGCAATGGGGCTAATAATCTTCATTACTAATAATCCCTTCTCCCCCCCAAGCAGTTGCGTTTGCATGGATGTGTTTCGGTTTGAAGGTTGGGATATGACAATACACCATATCAGGTCGACCTCTACGCGATTTCCCCTGGAAACAATTGTGGTTAATTCTAATGGAATTCGTCACGATGGGCTTACTGACCTGCTTTTATCGTCACTTATCATCCCTCACTGGTTCCCCGCCAGCGTATATCAATAACGCAAGTGAGGTTACAATTCCATTATCACTCTTTAAAAAAAAACACCCGAGTCCTCAGTAATGGCAACGCATGGGGGGTATCATTGGGCGAAACAGTATACTCTGTTACATCCATGGTACTGTTCATGTCTATAGGCGACAGTTACCACTTTCCATCAGGTGGGCCGTCAGTTTGTTTGCCATTCTAAGTTACATAAAAAAGAAGAAGCTTGCGAAGCTTGAAGCTGCCATTTTTAATACATGCGTGCGTGCCAATAATGACATCATCATCATCATTATCCATCTATCGTCCACTGTCAATCAAATCATCGCTGTCCCACATTTTCTCTTAAATTGCCCCTGTCTGTCCCTTAAAATAGTCGACTATCTATAACAGTATTGAGGTCATTCCATCTCGGAGGATATCGCTTCATACTATACTTCCCTACACGAGGCGACACTTGAGAATCTTTCCCCGTCGGGTATCGATTGATAGAGCTATGTGGCCGGTCAATTGCTACTTCAGCTTAGAAGTCCTTAAGATCATAAGTAAGATAAGTGAAACAAGTTGATCATTTATCTATTATGCAGTGAAACTCCGAGAATAGTCTTCTTTAAAGATCACTGATTGACTTGGAAGAAGCTATAAAGTATAAATTAGAAATCGTGGATACAAAATCACACACCTTATACCTTCGCCGCACATTCACACTAGAACAAGACTGTGTTCGAAAGTCGTCTGCTTGGATACCTTTGCCCTACTCCAGTTTTTGCTATGAAGAAACTGTGCTTATATGGCTACATTTCGGTTTGAAGGATAAGATATAACAATTAAATTAAAGAATCCAGATGCATAAAAACTTAGTTCTTAAAGAATATTTATTTATTTATTTATTTAAGGAACACCAACAGCATATTGCATTATAACATATAGGTATAACAACCATCAAATACAATACTATAACATTTTTTATACAGTGTAAGAAAATTAAGTAAACAACAAAAATAAACATGTAATCCAAGTTGTGAGCAATATCAGAAAATAAGATTATGAGTGAATTAAATTAAAAAAAAATATTAAAAAAATATATATTATGACAATTAATTTTCATAAGATTGTTGTACAAAGTGCTTCAGCAATTTATTCCTGTAGGAATTCGAATTATCGTACACTATATCAATTTCAGGTAATTTGGCATTAATTTCATTGTATGACGCACTAATCCTGGCCAGAGGTTGATGCAGTCCTAGGTTTGTTCTGCAGCGCGGTAAGCTAAATGTTCTAGTTATAGGGTGTCGAGGATAATTTAGAGGTACCGTTAATTGGATTGAACTCAGTAAATCTGCACAATGAATTTTATTATTGAGAATTTTATGAATAAACATTAAATCTGCAATCATACGACGCGTCTTAAGAGAGGTAATGTTAAAGAAAAACATTATCTGACTATAAGGTCGCCTATACAATATGTTACGGGTTATGTAAGCTAGGTGTCTAGTGAATGCTCGTTGGATATTTTCTATTCTTTGAGATAAAGAGCTGTAGACTGGATTCCAGGAAACAGAGGCAAACTCCAAACGACTACGTACTAAACTGTTATAAAGAATTAATCTAGTTTGCCTCAATTTAAAGCCTTTTAAAGAACGTTTAAGGAAAGCAAGCATTTGTGCTGAATAGCAACACTGAATAGCAACACTTGAGGGCTATCAGCTTGACAGCCATTCTAAATATCATAAAAAAGATATATTATTCGTTCTACTACTAAAGTAGCAATAAAATGTATCTGCATAAATATAAACACGGTTTCGTAACCTAGTTCTGATCTTACTCTTCACCACCTCCTACATCCCTGGGTGAAAAGCTGTCGTTAAACTTATAACTGTTGAATTTTTCTGTAGGAACATTTTACATCAAATTGGATACAAAAAACTTGAGTAAAAGAGGCCGCTATTTGATTAACTGACCCATAGCCAAAACCCCTGAATCTAGAATATTGTAATTTTACAGATTATTTCTGTATTTTTTTAATTTTTTTTTTATGTAACTTAGAATGGCAACCAGGTTGTCTGTAAGAGATTGCTTTTAGCGATAAGGCTACCTTTTGTATATGCACACTCTGTATAAATACTCCTTGTATACATCTCTGCTGTGCGCAATAAAGAATTTGTTATTATTATAATGGCAAACGAGCTAATGGCCCACCTGATGAAAAGTGGTTACCGTCGTCTATAGACATGAGCAGTACCATGGACATAACAGAGTATACTATTTCACACATGATATTCCCTAATGCGTTGCCATTCCTGAGAACTAAGGTGTTATTCCTCTGTACTCTGTAAATTCACTATCATATCTCACCCTTCAAACCAAAAGACAGCCATGCAAACACAACTGCTTCACGGTGAAAACACGAATGGGACAGAGCAAAGTAAACGACTTTTGTACAAAGTCATCCTCTGATAAACAACAAGAGAGAAATAAGAAAGGAACAATAAGAAAGGAATTTTGAAATTTAGTCCTTAAGAGAGTAAGACTTCCAAAATTTACGCATACGAAGTCGCGGGCAAAAGCTAATTTAATAATATATCTATGTATATTTATTTTTCAGAGAATTCAGTATTTCAGTACGGAACACCCCCGTATATGCGAATTTGACAGTAAAATTTTTGTATCTGGTAATTTAACCTCCCGACGCCATAGCCGCATGGACCCTTTCTACTATGTTGACTTTCACGTGAGCACACGAGTGCCCATCGGTAACAATGTTACAGTAAGTTTTCATGGTTTATTTTATTTTATTTATTTATTTATATATATATATATATATATATATATATATATATATATATATATATATATATATATTTTTTTTTTTGGTGAGTTTTACAAGTTTACCAATGCACTCACCAAAAACTAAAAAATCAATATGTAATCTAATTATGCTATTATATAAAATAAATATTAAAAATACATTTCTGCATAATTTGTTACCGCTCTGCAAAACTCTGTGGCAGTGCAGTAAAAAGTCCAGATTGGAACTCATTGAGCAGACGTAGCGCCCTCGTGAGTGGCGCCTGATCAGCATGAAATGTCCTATTGCGTGGTAGGGCAAATATTCCGTGACCACGCTTGCTGATGTCTGGAACAGACATGCTTATGAGATTCATCACAAACGCATTGTACTTTATTCCTCTAAAAATACTGTTGTAAATTCTAGCAGAGAAACAAGTCGCCTTACCTCTATTTTGTTAACTCCACGCACATTTTCCTTGACATAATGTTTAATATATCAATTATTTGTTATTTATTTTACATTCGATATACCGTGTGGTCCCGGCATAGAATGAGCCAACTCTTTCTTTTTTGTGGATGTCGTAAAAGGCGACTACCCTTAGTACACTTGGTACTCGGAATTTAATGTTCGAAGGAGAGACAACAGAGCCCTTTTTAAAACATCACTAAAGCCTAACTGTTGACAATCCGCCTACCAAGCGTGGCAACTACTGGCAGAACTTTTTTTAACGTCTGGAAAATGCTTTATGTAGACCCATACACCTTGTGGGAGGTAAATGGGTACTGTGGGAATCCCCCCGTAAAGTGGAGGTGTACCCACCAAAACCAGACGATGTACCCTGGAGGTTCCATATATCGGAGACATGGGTTCGCTTTCGCACTCACCACATCTCCGACGGCAGCGATCCGCCCCCGATGGTAAGGGCAGGTCTCCTCTCTCAAGATAGGGTGGCTGGCGTGCTCACCCTACCACTCGGGGGGAACGCGCCGGTATATTAGCCCATCCTCACTCTCACGTCAGGACTAACAACAAATAATCCACAGTAATCACTTTTGCACAAAAAGAAATACTGGCGTATTAAAATGGTTAAAAAATCTTAAATTTTTTAACCATTACGTGATCATCATTTTTTATGAAACATTACCGTGTACTTCCGGCATAGAATATACCGCCCCTTTCTTATCCGTGAGTGTCGTAGGAGACGACTAAGGGAGGGCAAAGGATGGGCAGCAATCTGCTTGCCAAGCGTGGCAACTTCTGGCAAAACCTCCCAAGGGAAGGTTTATGTTCAGCAGTGGACAGTTAAAGCCTAACATGATGACGATGATGATAAAAGACTCTATTATGATTTACAGGTACATTTTTACTTCTACGAGTTCCTCACCAACGTGTACAAACGTGGATTTATTGAAATGCATATGGGTGTATGTGACCTTATATTCAAAGATAAATTTTTCGGTGCTGGTATGAAAAAACAATTAAAAGTGTTAAGTTGTCCTTTCCCAAAGGTTAGTATATCACTTGCACATAATAAGGTCAACCTAAAACTACTTTCTCTAGTTTATTGTTGAGCCATAAGTGTCGTGAAGCATACTGTATTATAATCAACTTACGTATTAGGTAATTTCGGGGTTGCCCGACTAGTTTTTAACTCGATAAGAGCCCTTATGTATAAACACAGTTCGCAGCTGTATTACGAGCAGCACTATTCGACCAGCAAGCTGTTTGATATATATCACGCACATCAGGCAATCCCGAACGTTAATAAAGCCAATATTTTTACTTAATATTTTAAATGTAAAAGCGAGTTTGTTTGTTACATTTTAGCATTTTAACTGATTAATCAGAGGGAGACTTTGTACAAAAATTCTTGAGCACCTCTGTCCCATTCCTTGAAACAGTTGTGTTTGCATTGCTGTGTTTCGGTTTGAACGATGGGATAAAGCAGTGAATTTACAGGGTACAAAGAAATAACACCTGAGTTCTCAGGAATAGCAACGCATGGGGGTATTATGGGCGAAACAGTATACTCTGTTGTGTCCACGGTACTGTTCATGACTATAGGCGACGTTTACCATTTTTCATCAGGTGGGCCATCAGCTTGTTTGTCATTTTAAGTTTCATCAATATATATATATATATATATATATATATATATATATATATATATATATATACACTCCTCGCAAAAATTAGAATTAGAAGAAACTCGGCACCCGCTTGCTGTGCGACCAGTAGTTCCAGAGATATTAGCAGTTGAATGGAAAAGGATGCTTTTGCATTCAAAGTTCGATATCTCGGAGACAAATGGTCGTAATTGAGCCATCCAAAGCGATTTTTGAAGCTGAATAAACACACTAAGAGACCTATACAATGGAGTAGCTCGAAAAAATTTTTCCATGCCCATAGAGTGAAAAACAAAACCTAGAAAATTTTGAAAAAAATTATTTTCAGCTTTGTTTAAGAATTGCATGGAAACCGGAGCTCAAAAAATTTTTTTCACCAAAAAATCTAAAAACTAGAGTTTTCAAGCTTCAAAACCCTTTTTTAAATTTCCTGTATGATTATTTTTCACTGAAATACAGCCTGTTGAAAATCACCCAAAAATTTCAAAAAATTTTATGTTCCCTTAATTTTTGCGAGGAGTGTATATATATATATATATATATATATATATATATACAATAATGTTATTTTCAGGGCGAATACCACTTGTACAATATGACTATCCCATTAGAACAAATTCCAAGAGGGTTCCCGTTTACTAAAGGCCGCATTTATTCCAACATCACACTTACAAATACTGGAAAACAAATTGCAAGTGGATATATCGATATAGAACTGAAAACTACAAGAATTTCAAATTAAATTGGCTAATATTCGAGTACAATTAATTGCACACTAGAAATAATAAATTAATAATCTAGATAGATACTCTTTATTTTGTTTTTTTTACAACACAGGGGGTGAACAAGCATTCGGCTCACCTGATGGTAAGTGACTACCGCCGCACATGATCACCCACAATACCAAAGGCATTGCAGGTGTGCTGCCGGCCTTTTAAATAGGAATATGCTCTTTTCTTGAAGTTTATGATATTTATTGTTTCATTCAAAAGATTACAATAGTAAACTTGGTACAAGCAATTACAAGAAATGATCACAGTGAAAGAACAATGGGCGAGCTTATCGCTAAAAGCGATCTCTTCCAGCCAACGCTACATCATAACTACATTGGCTATCAATAAAGTTAACATGTATTTATGACTAGCCGTTTTCCGCGGCGTTGCCCGCTTCTATGTAATCCCCATATATCATTCCCATTGAAACCCTTCATGAATCCGATTTTATATTGATGATATAAATATATACATATATTGCTAGCAAGAACGTACATATATATCTGCATTCCGAATAGGCAGTAATATTATTCAATGACTATTCAAAAATGCTTAAATTTACTCCAATAAATATGATAACTGTATATCTATTTTTAGAGTTCCTTGCTAAATTGATACAACGAAACCCTTTGATGTGACTTTGTCTGTTTGTCCGTCGGTCTGTCACATCTAAGTAATTTGAAATTTGAATTAGGTAATATTAAATAAGTAGTTGGCCATGCGGTCCCGGTATAGAATAGGCCACCTCTTCCTTTCCCGTGGGTGTCGTAAGAGCCGACTAATAGATGGACAGCAGCGTCCTTCCTTAATATCTCTAAAGCCTGACTACAGTTGCCAATCTGCCTACCAAGCGTGGCAACTACTAGCTAGATCTTCCAAGGGGAAGCTTATGTTTAGCAGTGGACAGTTGAAGGCTGATATGATGATTATGATGAAATAGGTAGTAATCAAACTGGAAAACTGATTAATATCTATATTATATCATAAACCAAGGTTAAACATTGATCATCAATGATTAACTTCGATGTATGTATGAAGGAATTTGGAACGTTGGACTACATTGTCTGAGAGAACATTCAAGAGCCTTCGAAACTTACTTTCTATATATGAAACAACTCAGCGGGTCTATAATGAAATGAAATTCCGAATTTTCGGACTCAATTTCGTGTTTTTGTTTATACCAAAATCGGACCAATAAATGGAGTTTAACATTTCGTTCGTCATGCATCCTATTATAAAAGTCCAAAGGAACGATATTTTAACATTTTTAATATTTCCAAACGGCATGTATTGTTTTTTTTTATACCACTTAAAATAGCAAACAAGCTGACGGCCCACCTGATGGAAAGTGGTAACCGTCGCCTATAGACATGAGCATAATAGAGTACACTGTTTCGCCCATGATACCCCCCATGCGTTACCATTCCTGAGGACTCAGTTGTTATTCCTCTGTACCCAGTAAATTCACGCCATATCCCACCCTTCAAACCGAAACACAGCCATGCAAACACAACTGTTTCACGGTTGAAACACGAATGGCACAGAGGTACTCAAGCAATCGACTTTTGTACAAAGTCTCCCTCTGGTATCTAATGGAATTTTAAAATCAAATGTATGTTTCGTTTGGCTCCGAAATTTCCGAAAACATTTCATGGTAGGCCCTCAGGCGACACGATGACGTCTGCGACTCTAATAAGACGTCGTTATTTGGTCATTTTAAGGTCGCGACCCTAAAATGACTATATAATGACGTCGCGTCTTCGTCACCTGCGAAATTATGAAAGTGTGCGATTTTCTTTGATAACCTATCAAAAAGACTCGAGTGTCTTATGTACCTTCAGCTAAGGCGTATTTTTATGACAAGTTGAATGGAAAATATGCAATGGTAATGAAAGACCATCGACTATAAACATGAACAACACCATGGTCATTACAAAATATTATATTGAAATCACTATGATGTCCATAGCACATCTCGAACGTTACCATTCCTAAAAGATAGATAGATAGATACTCTTTATTGTTTCCTCCAAAAGATTACAATAGTAAACTTATTATAGATATAAACAATTACAAGAAATAATCACAATGTGAAAACAATGGGCGATCTCTTCCAGGCAACCTTTGGATGGTGAGGAGTAATTATAAATAAAAGGTGTGATGTTCTGTCTGCTTATCATGAAATTTTACTGTCATATCCCACCCTTAAAATCAAAAATAGATATATATATTAATATACATTTAATATATAACCAAATTGTGGTAGAAAAACCATAGAAATAGATCATTTACAGATAGCGTATCAAGTTAAAACATATACCAGATTTGAAATTTTGAAATTAAATCTTCAGGTGCACAACAGGAACAAACCGTATTCAATTTGGCTCAGTAATTCATGTGCCGCTAGCACAATAAAGAAGACATCATAATTTTAAAGAGTCCTTTTTAACCATCCGGATCTTAAAATGTAGCCGAGAACTCTCTTTACACAAACTGTAAATAACGGGGGGAAGGGATTGTTAGTAATGGGGAGATTAGTCGTTGGCAGGCGGGTTGGCAACCGCAGTTAGGCTTTTAGAGATATTTAAGAGGGACGCTGCTGCCCATCCCTCGCCCTCCCTTAGTCGCCTCTTACGGCTTCCACGTAAAGAAAGGAAAGGAAGGGGTGGCCCATTCTATGCCGGGGCACACACGGCGACACCCTTTTATAATTCTAATGAGATATAGGGTGTAAGATGATTAATAAAGTCACTACAATCTTTATTTCAGTTATTTAATATATTGAAAAACACAAAACAATATAAAAGATATATAAAAAATTTATTATGTTTTATAAATAAATCATATACGAGTATATAATTTAACAGCTCCATCTAACGTTCAATATATATATATATATATATATATATATATATATATATATATATATATATATATATATATATATATATATATGAACGTTAATAATACTCAAATTACGCGAATCAAACATTAAAAAAAATCTGGTCCTTCCATCCAACAGCTGAGAGCGCTGTGGTAGCAATAGGAGACACAAACAAAAACAACACACTAACGGTTATACAGCATATATAATACCGAAATAAAACACCCAATCGAAATGAATTTAGATATCCGACTAGTATTCACGATATCAAAATAGGTGATAAACGTTTTTTGCTGTCTTCAATTTTCAAAGAAACCCAATATATTGATATTGGCGTGATACCGGTATTACCCATGCCTAAAAATACGTTACTTATTAGGCATAGGTACAGATAATATAATGCATGGGCAATATCGACATTACAGCTCCGATATCTACATATTGGAATCCTTTTTTTTTTATACAACTTAGAATACATGTATAGTTCTAAAAATAATGTATATGGTAAAACAACGTTTGCCGAGTCAGCTAGTAATAATATAAATATATGAATACGACCACAACTCTTGATGTCTTCGTTCAATTATAATAACAACTTCATATCGGAATCCTGGCCGTTTTCAGTTCTATATCTATATATCCACTTCCAATTAGTTTTTCAGTATTTGTAAGGGTGAGGTTGGTATAAATGCGGCCTTTTGTGAACGGAAATCCCCTTGGAATTTCTTCTATGGGGATGGACAAGTTGTAGAAGTGATAGTCGCCCTGGAAATAACGTCATTGCAAATATAAAATAAAACAGATTCAGTACTTGTTTTTTCAACAGACTTAAAAAAAGGAGGTTCTCAATTCGATTGTTTTGTTTTCTGTTTTGTTTGTTAGTTACCTCATAAGTCTGTCAGTTGTAAAGCAATTTGGAATTTTTTTTTATTTCAAAAGATATACTTGCAGATTGATCTTTTAAAAATTATATGCGAATCGGTTCAATAGTTTAATTTATAAATTAACATAGCATAAAATTTGCTAATACACCATAACGCCATAGTTTTCAGCGATGGCAACATATAAAGTGTACTAAGCATATGCGTCATAATACATTGCTGTGTTTCGATTGGAAGGGTGGGATATGGCGTGAATTTACAGGGTACAGAGGAATAACACCTGAGTCCTCAGGAATGGCAAAGCATGGGAGGTATCATGGGCGAAACAGTATGTGTGTATACTGTTATATCCATGGTACTGCTCATGTCTATAGGCGACGGTTACCACTTTCCATCAGGTGGGCCGTCAACTTGTTTGCCATTCTAAGTTGTATAAAAAAAAGTGACTCACGGACACATGCTTCATGAGACTGTATCCAGTTAGTTGCTTGAAATGTAGATACTAACCTTTGGAAAAGGGCAACTTGATACAGGCATATATTTTTTCATAACAGCACCGAAGAGTTTATCCTTGAAAATCAGATCGCATGCACCCATATGCATCTCAATGAAGCCACGTTTGTAAACGTTGGTTAGAAACTCGTAGAAATAAATATTTGTCTGCAAATTATAAAGGAGTATTCAATAAATAAATAAAAATTAGTTTCGCTTTTTTTCTTACTATTGAAGGATCCCAAAAGCAAAGTTTTTAAAAGAGGGGTAAAAATGTTTCTTCCGGGTCGGCAACGCACGCGTAATACCTCTGGTATTGCAGGTGTTCATAGGCTACAGTAACCACTTACCATTAGGTGGGCCGTATGCTTGTTTGCCACCTCAGTGGTATAAAAAAAAATCCCGCGATTGATCACGATCTCACATGATGTAAAGCGATAATGTGGTCTAAGATAGAGCTTGCCAGCCCACGAATAGACAGTGGAGACAATATCTAAATGATACCTAATACATCTGGGGAGAAAGGGATTGTTAGCAATGGAGTTTTAGAGTCACATTGCTAGCAATAATATAGTTGACCTCCACGTGAACAATTCTTGTTGAATTCGTCAAGGTTGGCCTAACTGACCTGCTTCATCCTCACCTATCATCCTTCACTGGTGTCCCGCCGGTGTATACTGATAGCGTAGTTGGGATTACTATAATATTTCATTATCACCCATA